TGGGAGCTTTTGGAGATTGCTGTTTTGTGGAGAACTGTCAATGTGAAATAACTACATCCAAACAAATGGGTTTGAATGTGTGTGACGACAAAAAAACAACAAAGATGAGAACATGCATCAACCAGGGATTTTACTCTGTTTTCTTTTGGTGTTGGTTTTAATGTAGCATTTAACTTCCAGCCAACAAATCTATAAATACACGTATATATGTATATATGTACATGTATGTATGTGTAATGATATATATATACATAGTTCCCACAGACCAATGAATGTCACATGACCTCCTCGGAGACGCCATCTTTGATGGCACGCTGCTGTGTTTGTGCATTCCATTAAACAGAAGAATGAGAATAAATGTAGATATTCAAACGCAAATTGGAAAAAAGGGCAACTTTTGAGCAAATAATTGTATATTAATACAATGGCACCACAGTTTAACGTGCTACGGACATGTTTTACATATTTGATCAAATTATGCAGCAAAAATTAACAAGCAATGCAAACATTTCTCAAAAACTTTAGATTTAATACCAGTTGGAGCTCCATTTAATTATTTTAATTATATTAACAATTAATTTAATTAATGCTAATGCCACACGGACACTCTGGATTGCTGTTATTGTTTATTTCCGCGTTTTTGACCGTATGTTTTGGTGAATGGTGGGCAACTGATTTTTCCAGGCGTAAAGAGCAGTTTATTTTATGACACAGATCTTTTTACAGAAGCAATGCTGTTTGTGAACATTGTTTTAGCCCACCATAGAACTATTATTATCTATTTTATACATTTACGTTGCCCTCGAGAGCCTCGGACGCGACACCGATCCTCCTCATAATAAAGTAATGAATCTAAATAATGAAACTCTCAAGTTACCAGCTATCAGCATACACAAGTTAGTACTGAGTAAATTACGTCTGTCAACACATTATAAGATACGATACGCACCTGACACAAAGTGCTCCGAGCATATTCTTGCGTGTTTTGAGGGAGTTTCTTGCCTGTTTATCTTCGCAAGCCATAACCTCCGTCGTTGTTCTGACAAAAGCTTAGTCTTCTCACATTCATGAAGTCTAATGATGGTATACTGTAAAAAATCCAAGTTTAACGGAACCTCCGGCACGATTTGAACATCCATTGACCCAGCAGGAGAACGACCATTTTCAACTATATCACGACATTAACACGTTTCAGCTTCTTTTTCTATTGTTTTGGGGCCCACAGCATGCCAACACAAATGGCGCCGGGTCGGCAAATCCCCGTATGTAGTGACGTCATGTAGGAACTATGTATAGATATATATATATATATATATATATATATATATATATATTATACATATTATATATCATGTGTACTAGTTTGTATTCCATGAGCTCTATTATGTAAGCACATTTTTGTGCTTTTTTCAAACTCCACAGAGAAAGACTCTTTGTTTCAAGAGTACAGAGTCAAGGACTTCTCAATTGAAAGTGCATAGAGCTATTATGCAACTTCTCTCTCGAACAAAATAGGCTCAATGGATAAGATGATAGACTCTTAAAACGAGTGTTTGTTGGAAGGTAAATTTGACATTAAAACAAACAACAAAAGGAAACAAAGTAAAATCCCTGCGCGACCATAGAGCATGTTCTCATCTTTGTTTCTTCGTAGTCTCACACATTCGAACACATTTATACACGCTTAAAATCCCAAATATTCATGGTCCAGGACTACTAGACCAAGTGTTTTGTAGGCAATAGCCAACATGGTTGCAATGAGAAAGTTAACAGAAGAATGCACATTATTTAACCCCCAGAAATTAATTCTTATAAGAAAAAATATTTATGAAATGTCTAAGAACTTTCCAAGTTCTATGTTGAGAGAAATTACAACGTGAGAAATGGACAAAGCCACGAAGCAAGATACACAAAAGTGAGATCGATCTGAGCACGAGCCTTAACCGCAAAGATTAGAACAAACTCACAAACCTACTGGCGTTTTTTATAGGACAGGTCTTCAGACACAGGAAGAAGCCTGAAACGTGTTTAAAAAAAAACATGATTTTAATGCAGATTACATTAATGCAGTCTCATGCGTCTAAGTACTCCACAGCAAAAGTTATTATTGACATAAATAATTTGTGTGGAAGAAACTAAACTAGTTTTAATTGACAAAAGAAATAATAATAAGTCAGCAAACATTGTATGTACATAATTATGTTTTTAATAAGAAGTAACGTACTTCCTCTGATACATTAATCCATGTTGTTTGAAAAAGCCTTAAACCCCATCCCATCAGATTGGGTGATTTTCCACACCAGTTCACCTCTGTAAGGAGTATGGGCCAGTTTTACCATTGTTCATTATGTTCCAAGGCCTGTAATGCTCAGCCAGTGCTGTCAGTCAGTTCCACAGAGAAAATAGTGGCTTTGAGAAAAAGGAGGAAACAGTGTGTATCATCAATAAGTTGGAGCCATGTAGCCATCTTGAGAGGAAATTGAAAAATGCCACAATGCGGTTCTTTTCCCCGAATGGGTTCCGCTGTTTTTGCCGGCCGAGGCGAAGATCTCCGACTGGCTAATGCAAGTATGCAGTGTGAATAATGTCCGTGAAGAGTGGGGTTACATGGCTTAAACTGGTACAGAAAGACAATTACATCATTTTGCTTAATGCATAGATATTTGAAAATGGATGAGAATTTGCATTACTCAATTGGCTCAATGTACGACTTGTCGGTTTGGGGTTGACTTTGCCTTTGCGTTCATTAAATTTTAATCAAGTAATGTATATTTTGTTGGATAAAATCACAAGTGATCATTAAATATGATATAACGATGTATTGATTTTAGGAAGACACACTTCATTTCAACATTTCATCAGTTAACAGATTATTGTCTGTAATGTATGTCATTAGTGTATACAAAAAAGTAATCCTAACAACAAATGCTGAATGGTAAATGTTTTAATACATTTTGATGTTGCTAATACCGTATTTGTATAACAGCACAAATGGGTGGCCATCATCACTGATAAACGTACTAAACATCATTAATCCCATCAGATATGAATGTTTGTGCATCAAGGGGAGATCAGAGGGAGACTAGAGAGAGAAAGACCAGAGAGAGACAAAAGGTAGACAGATGGTAGACCAGAGGTAGAACAGAGAGAGGTTGGAGTGCGACCAGCCAAGTGAGATAACCAGAAAGAGAGACCAGAGGGACTCACACAGAGATGACCAAATTGAGACATTGGGGAGACCAGAAATACCAGAGAGAGAGAGAGACTAGAGAGACTCCATGGAGAGATAGGGACCAAATAGAGAGATAGAGGGAGACAGAAATACCATAGCAAAGGAGAGCAAAGAGAGAACCAGAAAGCGAGAGAGCCAGTGTTTTGGTAATGAACAATATTCAAGCTGAACTTGGAACTGCTTTGTGTGAGCTGCTCCCAGCACCTTCCCAAAGGACTGCAAATAGATAAAATGACACATCCTTTGGGTTCCCTGTGGATAAATGCTTGGTTAAGTGTTCTCTCAGCCATTATATTGTTGGCTGGTAAAGAAGATTCGCTTGATATGATAGGCAATAAATAGCTCCCCGCGAGATCCTGCAGCCGGGTGGCGTCCCACTTTACCCATTTGTTTTGATCAGGTTAGCGCGCCTCTGTGTGTGGCGAGACGGGGGAAAATAGCACAACACAGTTCTCCTGAGTTCTGCCTGTAGGACTTCTGTCACATCCCATAATATGATTTAGACAACCCCACAAATAGTGCGCTTTCTTTTGTTACGCTGCCGATACATTATGAACCCTCTGCACGGCAACAGAAAAACTCAAGACTTGAATATAAAAAGGAGGTTAAACGATGTTGTCTTTTTCCCCCCAATGGCAAAATGGTTTATCCACCGTGGAGCTTCCATTTCCTAAAATAATTTTGGAGCAATCACTTTTGCCTCAACATTGATGTTCTTCAGAGACTCCAATAGCTTACCTTTTGTGTTTAAATGTAATAATATGTATAGCTTATGAAACTAAATGAATTGTAAAATGTCAGTATTGGATTTATGTATTTTTATGCCCTATGCTGCTAAAATGAATGGCCTCAGGTGGGATGAATAAAGTAGTTTGAATATGAATCAGAATGATTAAAACAGCAGGCGTTCTTTGTTCCACAAGGTCTATTAGTATATGTTTTGCCGATACAAATGTCTGTTTCAAAACAAGAGTGCATAAAGGTACATTGGATGATCAACCCGGAAGTAGAAAATCCTCCTGACTATGGTCCTTCAAATTGTAAATCATTCTGGTGATACAAGCTCGTCAAATAAGATCAGAGAGTTTTGGTTAAAAAGTGGGGAGGGCGGTTCTTTGTTAAAAAAATTGTCACATGTGTGAAATTAAATGAGACCCAAAATGCAAAAAATTATGGATTTAATAAAAAGAAAAAATCAAAACTTCCAAAAACACAGGGAACGAGGACCGAACTAAAACAGACAAGGAATGACAATGATGGAACAGGGAGTGAAGGAACACACAGGGCTAAAATACAAGACTAACGAGACACAGGTGAGACACATGAGGGCAGGGCAGGTAATCACACAGGAAGAGCAACCAAAGCAGACACAGGGATTTAACAAACTACAAAATAAAACAGGAAATGAATCTAAACCATGACAGTACCCCCTCCTCAAGGGACGGATCCCAGACGTCCAAAAAAAAAAAAAAAAAAAAAACAACCAGGGAGGGAGGAGAGGGACCGAAGGGCCGGAGCAGGGACGTAGGGCCGGAGCCGGGACGTGAAACCGGGGCCGGGGCGTGGGGCCGGGGCGTGGGGCGTGGGGCCGCGTGGGCCGGAGGCCGGGACGTGGGGCCGGGCGTGGGGCCGGGGCGTGGGCCGGGGCGTGGGGCCCGGGCGTGGGGCCGAGGGCGTTGGGGCCGGGGGTGGGGCGCGGGGGGCGTGGGGCCGGGGCCGGGACGTGGGGCCGGGGCCGCGGACGTGGAGGCCGGGCCCGGGACGTGGGATGCCGGGGGGGCCCTGGGACGGGAAAACCGCCGAGCTGGAACCGACCCCGCAGGGGTGGTGCAGGAGCTGGAGCGGGGGCCTGGGATGCGAAGGCAGGTACGAAGAACCGGGAAGGCCCCCTGGATGGAGAGAAACTATGTACAGCGGCGGCCAGGTCAGCCGGCAGCCTGCAACCACCCCAGGGACGGAACAAGAGTGTGCCTGCAGGTGGACGCATGGACAAAGAACAGAGAGGGATGCTTCCAAGCTCCTGCTGCGACTCTCCAGGTTTGGGGATAAACGCCGGAAATGAGATAAAAATAATAAATAAAATGACGCGTCTGCATGGGCCTTGATGTGGGTGTCACTCTATTCTGTCACACGTGGGATGAGGAGGGAGGACCCAAAATGCGAGTAAGGCACTTAATATATGATTTAATATAAAATTATAGTCCTAGGTATAAACTAAGAACGTCAAAATCCAATAATACGTTCCGAGGGGAGCTCATAATTCATGAATACTAGGATCTGGTTACATGATGTAGATAAAATTCATATGGCTACCAGCACTGAGAGGTGAGGAGCACGTGGGTATTATTGTACTGAGGGCCACAGGTGAAACACATTAGCGGGGGGGCAGATTACAATCTTGTGCAGGGAAACCGGACGTCTAAGTCTAACGAAAACCATTAGGCTCCGAGTACAATATCATTAGTTAAGCGATAAGGTCCAAAATAATATCCTCATCCATGACTTATATTTTTCTATTTAATCTTTAATAAAGTATAGAATCGCCTTGCTTATTAGCACTTAGTTATGTTTATCGCCATGAGGTCAAATTATCACAATTTCTCATTGAATTTTCTAACAGTATATTGGACATATTTGTATTTGGTGTATCTGGGCTTGTTGGGGGGATGGGTTCATCTGGTTCGTGTTCCTCAATCTTCAACAGCTGATAGGGTCTCACCTTTACCTACTATTTTATGGAGCACTGGGGTGGGAGCTCCTGTATCGTGTTCAATATATATACTGTCCTTAAGATTGTGTCCCGCTTGGTACGAGGCCAGCTGCTACGCCATGACGCCTGAACAATTTGGGGGGTTGGTTTAATATTACCGATACAGGTACATATCTTATCAAGCTTTTCGCTCACTCAAATGATTGCTACAAAAGGATCGTTTATGCGTTTTTGTTTGGGGGGGTGGTGGGGTTAGGTGGTTGGGGTTGTTAATGGGGGTGGGGGGTGGGGGGGGGGGGTGGGGGGGGGGGGGTGGGGGGGGGGCTTCGCTTCACTCGAGTAACAATTGCATAACATGCTGTGTACAGGAACTGTGGACACTGCACCATTGACCAGGAAGTGCATCGCAAATGACCTGTGTGCTTCGAGTGAAAAGACTGTATCCTGGAGATCCTGATGTCCAACTGGAAGAACCAGAACCATGGCTTTGGACCCTACTGATGTCCAAGATGACAATCTCTCGAAATATGAACCTGAGGCGGACTACTTAGACACACCTCAGGGGACCCTTAGGACCTGAGGACCTTGAGAGGAAAACTGGGGAAGTGGAGTTTATATTATTGAAATCATGCTCATTGATGAGTGCTAACTGAGACAGATACTCATGATGCTTTCTTTGTTTTGTTGTCCCTACTTCTGGACACTGATATCTATTGGCACAGTCCATATTGCATAACAAGAACCAGCCAATGAAAACCATCTATTCCGATGCTATTCTGCTACAACCCAACCACAACTGAGACAATATTCAATGAATGTTAAGTATTCAGACATCAGACAGACAAAACTTTGACTTTTTTAGTCCTGGAGACTGAGCAACAGTTAAAATTTTTTAAAATGATACAAGGTATAGTATTGTAGCAGTTTTAATATAGAAAAAAAGTAGAATTGTCCTTCCTTTGTTTGTTCATAAACAGTCATTTCCACTAAGAGTTAAAATAGTAACCAACAATGTTATCTCTGATAGAGCAGCCTAGAATATTAGAAATCAGAGTTATTTTAGAGATTTAGAAGTTACAAACTAGGAATATGCCTTGGCACAAGCTACACCGCAGCTTTAGAGTCACAATAGAGTAAAAATAGAATAGAAAAATGCATCAACCATAGATTGCTTTCAAAAATAGAGAATAGTACCTAGTCATTGTAATATCAAATGGTAAATAGGACTCATTCACGAAGCCTTTGCTTCAAAAGTAGATAAAGTTACTTTACAGTTTTTAAGGAAAGGAAACCACAGAATAGAGATATTTATAGATTAAAATGTATGTTTGAATGTGCTCAATTGGAAGCAATATGGCAAACAGATTGTAGTGGATTGGAATAGTTTTAAACTATAGTGAATAGTAAAAAGTAAAGTACACAGTGTAAGATTGAATAGTGAATAATACAGTGAAATAAAAATAAGTGTATATAATTAGCATTAGAATAAAAGTATGAGTAAGAAAGCGAAATTAGCTTCAAATCAGAGACTCTGACTCGTTTGGTTCTGTGTTTTGACTGAATATGCAGATTCTTGTGTGTCCAATAGAGTTTTGTTTTTGTTTGTTTTTATTTTTTGATTTAAGATATTGATTGGATCACAATGTGTAAGTGATCAAGAGAGGGACAGAGTGAATATTTAATTAATTTTCTGCCTGCTAGAAATGTCCATGTTAAACCAGAGTTCACGTGTGTACTTTGAACTGCTTACATAAGCTGGAAACAGAATAAGACAGAACAAACAGTAAACATGTGCAGTATGAATGTGTACGTTGGAGTTTTGCTCCATTACAAAACAGTATATATCTCAGTTGTACGTTGAAAACCATACGCTTTCTTCTCATAGTCATCTACCAAAGTCATATGCTTACATAATCATTTAAATGTTATAAGGAGTTAGCCTTTGCCTGTACTAGTCAGACATTCTGAGGTCCAGGACAGGATGGAGCAGCGTTTATGCTTGATCAGAATAGCTCAAACCTTCTGACAATAAAACGATTGAACTACGCGTCGGAATCTCGTTTGTCATTTTTTTTTTAGGTCTGGTATATGCACACGCTTTATCCACATCCCACCGCAGATCATCGCTATAATCTCCTTGTTCAGTTGTGATTCCTTTGTTTGCTCTTCTTGTTTCACATGTTGTGTTTTTAGGAACATACCACAGATGTTGCGAGACAAGTCAATATTTAACTCCAGGGTGATTAAAAAATTTGGTAACTGATATCCACACATTTCTGTTTTCCAGTAAGACATTTACATGGGAGGCAATGTAGTGTGTTAAATGGATTCTATTTTTTGTGATTTAAAGTGGACCCATACACGTGTCCTGTCCTGTGGGGTAGGACTGAGTGTTCCCTGAAGCCCAGCACCATCATGTATCCAGCGCTCAGTGGAGTTTGTCCCATTTGAGGATTCTTTGCCAATATGATCATGGTTGGGGACTGGGTTTTTGCTGGTCCGTCCTCTCCTCACTGCTCTGCTCTTGGTCTGAACTGACAACACACCTGTGTTAGATCTGCATGTGGAACCATTGTGCTTCCTGATTCAGGGCTGCCTCAGGTCTCTGCGCATCAGTGGTTGTTTTTCTACTTTGGTAAACCTACTACAGTCTCTTGTATATTCAAATATTTGACCATTTGTGCTGTGTTTTCACAGATTGCTTGGCCTGTTTTGTTGTGCGCACCCTTTCAAATGTCCTTATCTTTAAAATATCTGCTCACTATCCCCTCACATGCACAGGTGTGGACTATATATCACGGACATGGCTGGTAGTTTTTTGAACTGCGTTTGTCCCGCAAGGAACTTTCCTCATCCTAGCAGAGACATGGATTTATCAATTACAAAATTATTCTTATTTGTTTTACATTCATGTAAAGAGTATTCAGCACCCCTTTACATTGTTGTTGATACTATGTTTGCTTTGTTTTTTTGAAGTCTAAACAAACAGTGGACATTTTTCCGATATCAGCTTATGTGTGATATCGACTACAATGACCCTACAAACAGATGAAAGAAATTATGAGCTGCACAACAAGTTTTATCAATTGTCCAATTGTTAATTCTCCAAAATTAGTTGCGATTAAATATTTCTATTTTTGCTCAGAAATACTTCATTGCCAGTATTCTGCAAGCATACTTCCTTGAGCTGTAAACTTCTCATTTCAGCGACCCACAGCAAATCAATGGACCTAGAATCAATGGTATCAATCTTAACCTAAATTGCCTACTTAGTCCATTCCATTAAAATGTTTTTTTTTTTTTTTTTAAACGTTAAAGGCAAAGAAATTAGGTTATAGTCACTAAGAGTACAAATGTTACTCATTGCTTATTCAATGCTTTGTTCAATGCCAAGTTTTAACTTAAAAAAGAATATCTGAAGGATTATTTCATATAATGTAAATGCTATAGATTGCAATTTGATTTTGTTATAGTTTACTGATGAGTCCAAAAAACAAAAATTAGCGGAAAACAATTTTATTTTGTTCCCAATAAAACACCTGCATACACATTGATGATAAAAGTTAAGTGTTTGATTCACAAATATAATTGAATTTTTGACAGAGATAAGTGAACTCTATAAGCCTTTATAAAAACCTTGTGCAAAGCTATGTCTCAACTACCAACACTAACTGTGGAGTGGGGGGGGGGGGGGGGGGGGGGGTGGGGGTGGTGGGTGGGGGGGGGGGGGGGGGGGGGGGGGGGGGGGGGGGTGGGGGGGGGGGGTGGGGGGGGGGGGGAGGGGGGGGGGGGGGTGGGGGGTGGGTTGGGGGGGGGGGGGTGTTGGGTTTTACACTTTTTTTTTTGTTAGCTATGTTTCAAACACTCTCCACCGTCACTGAGGTATAAAAGGTGCGTGTGCAATGTTGTTTTACCGCTGGTTTTGTTTCAGGTCGTTGCAGAACTATTTGAAACAGGAAGCTCTCTGTTTTACATAAATACAGTTTGAATTAGTTTTCATCTGTTGCATTTGCATTGAACCATACATAGAAGAGACTTGTTTACATAAAGGTGGTGTGTCCAGTGTCTGGGGTCTTCGCTCCACACAATGAGCCAAACATTACTTCTACCAGCAATAAAAATATCATCATAAATTAGACTGAAAAATGCAATATAGATCTAGTGACTAGCATAAAACTATAAATGCAGAACCGCAATTTAAAATACTTTTCCATAAAAGTTAAAAAGCGAGGAGACTCCAGGGGCAGGTGCACGCTCCGTCAGTCCAACTCTGATCCCAACTCAGCCTCACACAGTCCTCTGTTTGCCAGTGTAACCCTCTGTGAGACACAGAGACCTGCTCCTGTTAAAGTAATGATATAAATAGTGTTATTTAAATAGCGCATTTAACAGAAACAAGGTCTCCAAAACACCTTACAATGTTCCGAGTTCAGATTGTTGATATCATACATTCCACATATGGTATGACGGAAATCAAGACGCCAAACACACCAGAGCTTCAAGGCCCCCAATCCATTCTCTCTACTCATATACATTCATACCTGTGCATGAACATACAAACTCCACTCAGAAAGCCCTTTTCCAGCCCAGGAATTTGCACCCAGGACCCTTCTTGGCGAGAAGAATGATGCTAACCGTGCTCAAATGCCATGGTCCCAATGAAACATAAAAGAAAAGAGAGTGTCTCTTTCACCTCTAGTCAGTCTCTCAAAAACTTTCAAATCATGTCAGAAATCTTAGGATAATACTGTCCTCACTCACACAGCAAAAACTTTAACATCAGGATCTTTTGAGTCTGCTGAGCGCAGGGCCGACTGCATTGACCAAGAATTGGAGGAGGCCAGGTGTCATTGTGATCCCATCATCACGCCATGAAAACAGACAACAGGACAGCGGGTGCATAGTCAAAGAAGAGACCACAGTCACCATTGATGAAAACAGATGTACATAATGTGGCAAGTCGAGACGGCCACGCGCTCCTAAAATAATATAAGAAAGAAATAAGAGAAAGACAAGAAAACAACAACTCCAGGGCAAGTCCCAAAAATTAATAAAAGCTCACTAAGGCCGCTCAGGTTCTATAACCATAATTAAAGGAACAAAGCAGAAATATAGTACTTTTATTAATTCGTTACTAATGTAGTTTTGTTACATTTCAGTATCTATATTCACAAGTACACAACTTCCTGTCACAAAGACTCATGAGCACAGGTGAAAACACACACACAGAAAAATGGGATAACACGGAGAGAAACAGCGGTGGCCGCGATGGTGGCGCGCACCCTTGAGGGAGACTGTCCGACCTAGACCCACAGGCCGGCTTATGCGACGCTTGGACCCCAGCCACGAGGGCGGCCAGACGCCAGAGTGACAGGGACAGCGTGGCTATATAAGCGGATTCGCGGGGCCAAACAGGGCCTCACCGCGGCACTGAAGGCAGGAGGAGCTGGCATCGACGCAACACCGGGGACGATAGGAAACGTAAACCAACAGACGCGAGCTATAGGCTATTTAATATTTGTCCAATATGCGACCTCTCCTGGGCAGAAATATAACATGGCCAAGTCTAGCTTGCCTGATAAGATGAAACTAAGGGCAACATAAAGACGAATAAGTGCACATTTGATGTATGTTCTTTCTAGCTAACTCAAATTGATGCATACTGACATTCTTGCTTTCACTGCAGGTCATGGGTATGATCACAGGGCTTTTCACATCCTCTTGTTGCCTATGAGCGTGTCCCCCCACAAAGAGTTTTAACATATTTGAGTATTGGCACATTGACAAATATACAACAAAGTCTGTTTGAAAACTCATGAAAATGATGTTGCAAAAGTAAATGGGTAACATTTGCATCTCCACCACACGCAACTAAAGAGTCTACAATGGAGCGAAATGCCCCCAGCTGCTTGTTTCTTGATTGCATTTTCTTCGGAGGTGGTTTGTGTTTGAGCATCTGAATACATCAAGATGGAGACTATATAATTGGGGTTCATTTAATATCCACAGGGAAACTCACCCCCAACAATATTACACACCAGAAGTCCTACATTGCTCATAGGTGAGATGAAAATACATTAGCTTTTTTATGTACATTATTATCATAAAATTGTCAACTCAACTATATTGATTTTTACTGTATAGCTTGCTTGCCGGTGTTAAATAAGAACAGAATACCCTAGTCCAAACAATAGAGTGGGAACCTACTTGTCTATGAAATGGTTTAGTCAAATACATCAACTCAACAATTTAAAAAATCTATTTAATGTTTCATAATTTTGTGTTTTGTCTTTTCATCGGGGGGGGGAGTTCATCCTTTTTACGTGTCCCAGTTATCGCCGGTTCCAAGTTGATGAAATTTGCCATTGAATGAGAGTTCAACTACTCCAGCGCCTCCCTGCCCGGTGACACCATTGGGCTATAATATCCTTTTGACCACTTCTCAGACATCCAGAACTTTCCAGACATTTTCAACCTTCTCTGGGGGAAAACCCATTTCAACCCGCAGGTACAACCCTCCCTCAACATCTCAGCGAAATTATTTCAGTGGTCGCTCCTCTACAAGCCTTTTGACGCTATAGTCTGTGGCTCCAATGTTCCATGAATAATCTAATCCCTATGGTAAATTGGGGGGGGGGGGGTGGGGCTGGGGGGTGTGCACAAATTTAATGAATTAATGAATACAGGAGACTATGAATGAAAACTTGACTTTTTTTCATCTTTTGCCTTGTTCCAACATTGTCATCAAAAACAGACCTGCATTGTTTTTATAGATCGAACTACGCTAATCATTTGGGAACCATTTACTTTATCAACAAAGCATTCTATACACAAACAACTGATTTTTGAAAAATGTAGTGCCCGAGTAAATTAGTTGTTGGAACATGGTGAAAGGTCCTGGTCTTGAAATGCAGCTTACTGTAAGACTCAAACTTTGATACAATTCGCTAACAATACACGTCCTCTCTTTTTACAGATCAGTTATGCGGCGTCCATCGTTCAATATTTTTCTCTAAAACACTTTATTCCCCTCATTCTTCCGACTGTCCATACCAACAAGGATGTGTGTGATGTTTTTTTGCAGTACTTCAAAAGTCATTGGGTGGCCCTACCTCAACATTGACAATGATTATGGTAAACGGTCTCACTGTGTTCATCCAACATGATTCAATACACAGACATCTGCCTGGCCTACAGCAAAGGAATCATGGATCAAAACACAAATACACAGACATTTTTTAAGCTTATAGATCAGGGGTGCTCACACTTTTCAGCTGCGAGCTACTTTATAAAGGATCAAGTCAAAAATGATCTACCTACTACAAAATGCAAATCATATATTTCAAAAAATATTCTTTATATCTACAATGGTATGTTTATTTACATGCAAAACAGCATGAGCCATATATAGCACAACACAACACAATTACCTATGTAAATTTTTTTGACATTTACCCCCCGGAGTTTACTCTTAGACTGACTGAAATTGAATCGCCAGGGATGCATAGTACCGGAAAATTTGGTGTAACTTGCTGACCAAGTTTGTCGTGGTTTAGCTTTTCCTGCACTGAGCGCGGTTGTTTGCGCATGTGCAGTGAATTTTTAAAAAAGCAAAGGAAGGTTTCTCACCCCATCATCTGTACTTCTTAGCAAGTTTTCCCGACGTTTCGTCCTCAACCTGGGGACTTCTTCAGGGAATGAATTCTCGGACCGCGCGTTGGAGATTTATAACCTATGGGTGTGGTAAGCCACACCCTAATCCTGATACTAACTCGTAAACAATCTCAGGTCTGCTTGATGTAGAAGGGAGCAGGTCTAACTTGCTAAGAAGTACAGATGATGGGTGAGAAACCTTCCTTTGCTTTTACTAATCCCTGTACGACTGAGGGCTTACACAAACCTACATTTTAAAAAGGTGAAACCAATAAATGATTATAGACTGGTTACATGCAATCTGACATATGCTAAGTTTTGTTTGTTAAAATCATTACTTACTTACACTTTATTTTCAAAACATTCAAATTTTCTGATGTTTTGTATGGGATTTTAACATGCTGTGATCCTTAAATATCAACATAATAAAGGTTTTCACCTGCATAATAGCAGCAATGTTAGCTCAACTGTTCTATTCTTCCTTTAAACCCTCTTCACCTTAAAGACAAATTAACATTATTTTAAAACATTCAACAATTTCATAGCTGCATATATTCAAGAATGAATCAATTTGTATAAAGCCAATATTGTCACAAGATAAAACAAGGAAAAAGCAGAACTGTGAAATGAGAGTTGTCGTTGTTGTTGTGTGTGAGAGTTTGTCATTTTCTTTTCATCCAACACTGAGTCACTCCATCGTTATTCTATTTTTCCCACAAACACCACCATGTTTATAATGTTTTCTCGTATCCTCTGCATGTAGGGTCTGGTGGCACAGTCTAGAACAATTCTGATTCACTTTGGTTTCAGATTCTTTTTTTTTGTTGTTGCTTAAATTGAAAATTAATATCTTATTTCAATTACATTACATTAATTTATGTATAGCATTAAATCACGTCAGCAATCGTCTCAGAGTTGATCAATCAAATAAAATCACATAGGAGCCAGTAGGTGCAGTATGACCAGTTTACATACATTTCCTTAATGCCGTTTTTCCACAGTCCTAGTACGGTACGTTTAAACTCGTCATGTGGCAACTCGAGCAGTAAAGGACCGAGGGAGAGACAGCGGCAGCCATAGGGGTAGCGAGTTAGCGGCTAGGCTAAGCTAGGCTAGGCTAGTCCGGACTAGGGTCTAGACCAGTGGTTCCCAAAGTGGGGGTCGCGGGAACCCCTGGGGGGGTCGCAAGATGATTTC